TATTGGATAGCGATTATTCTTTTTTTTTTTCCCTTCTGAAAAGCATCCTTGTTTATTTATTTTTTTTAAGAGAAAAAATATATATTTTTAATTTAATATTGGACTCGAATTTATTTATATTTAAAATTGATTCTAAAATGTTTTATTTTAGCCTATCAATTTTAGTATATTTTAGATTTAGAATTTCTTTTGTTAAAATTTTTAACAAAAAAATAAATGTCTAAAAATTTGAATATTTTAAATTTTCTAACTAAATTTCCTTTAATCTTCTAGCCTTTTTTTTTTAAACTCTTATTTAACCAGGGAAGGAAGTCAAAAGAAGAAATGATGTAAGAAATTATCCTCTTAGTTTGTCTTAAATTCAAAGAATATAAATAAAAGAATTATAATTTTAAAAATTTCCTTCTACTTTTTCCTTAATATTTTTAGAATTAAAAGATTATACAAATAAAAAATTAAAATGTAAATTTTTCCGTATTCTTAAGAAAAATTATGAATGTATCCCATTTTTTTTACTACAACGATGTCTAATAATTTTACACTAATTATATTCATAAATTTTATGTAAATGTTAACCACCAATTAAACATATTGTATTAAGCACTCAATTTAGAACTTCTATAAAAGATCCATTTATCCTAAGAAAACAACATAAAAGAACAAAAATAATAAATTAAAAATATTGGAAACTTTACAGAACAAATTATAAATTAGGATCTCACTAAAAAACGTATAAAACTATGATAAATTTTAAGAGTTAAAACTAGAAAACAAAGTGAACTTTACTTAGAGTAAGAAATTTGATTGACCTCTTAAACAAAGTTTAAACAAAATTAACAAAATTTAATGCTATGTAATTACATAAATTACCATTACATTTAATTTTCTACACATGAAATATCTCTCTGTTATTTAATATGTAAAAATAAAAATAAAAACTCTCTTATCCCTTATTTTCAACTTTTGTTCATTTTGATTCTTGTATTCTTGAAACATTTATTTTGGTCTTTATAATTATCATTTTATGTCCATTCTATTTATTTTTTTATCTTATTTTAATCACAATTTTAACACCATACTACAGTCAACATATTCATTAAAATGTAGTCATAAATTTATATTAAAAGATTTCCATTATATTTATAAATCATGTTAAGATTTTACAAACTGTATAAAGATCAAAACAAATATTTTGAAAATACATGGACTAAAATAAACAAAATTGAAATTACAGAAATCAAAATAAAAAATTTCAAAGTAGAGACCCAATAGTATTATTTAGAAAAAAAAAAGAAAAGAAAAATCAAATTGATGCATTAAATATGCCATACACTGTAAAAGAAAGAAATAATAATTTAGGAGACCAATTTAGATTTGTCCAAGAATAAATTGAATTCTCAAAATTAGTTGGTTGGAAATTGTTAGACCAATAGGGGGACAGAGTACAGATCACTCCACAGACCATAATCACATTTAGAGAGAGAGAGAAAAAAAAGAAGAGAGAGAGAGAAGCACCCATTTTTAGGTGTGGAAAAGAAAGTCTATTATTGAAAGTTCAATTCAATTGCCACAAAAATTTTCTTATGTTCGAACAAAAAAAATAAATATATATATATATATATAAATGAATACTTTTTTTTTCTCTTGTCCCATTTTGTTGATTTTATCCATACTTAGATTTGAAGAAATCAAAATTTACTTTGAAGGGTTCATAAGTGTACTTTCAACCCCTAACTTGAATTTCTCAAGAAAATAATAATAATAATAATACCATTTCAAAGTCCCATTAAATGGGCAATAAAAATCAAAGTCTTATTTACATAATATATTTAGTTTGTGTAAAAAAAAAAAAAATTAAATCTAGAATCTTAAGTAATTTTTAACATTAAAAAAATCCATTAAGAAATCTTGTCAAGCTGGACAAACGCCAGCCTCGGGTTTATATGAAACTTCTCCTATTTAATTTTATATTACATATCAATATTTATTTACGTAATTTATGAGATTAACAAATTCATTATTTGAAATGAGTAAATTTACATAAAATATAATCTCGATTTTTTAAATATTGAATTATATAAATATAATGATTGATTTATAAAGTTGGGTTGGGTGAGTGGAGAGTAGATTAAGTTGGAAAAATTCTTTTTCTACTCTCCAACGACAGCAACTTGTCAATTGAAGAATTTAAAAGCTTTAGACTTTTTGACTGTTTTAATGTTTTAATAACTCTAAACAAAAAGTAGTCAAAATAAAAATAAAACTCCAAAAAAATAAATAATAAAAATAAATAAATCCACCAAAAAATGGTCTGGTTTTTGGTTTTCTGTCAACTTGTGGTTCGTAAAACAACAACTCAAGGAAGCTTCCTTATATTTTCACTCTTCTTAATTTCCAAAACGAAAATATACATTAATAACTTCAAAAATGAATCTATTATTTAAATCAAATATATATTAATTGGTTGAAGGTTCCAATCTCAATTTCTATAGTTGTAATACTATATTCTGTAAATAAAAGAGAGGAGAGTATTTATAATTACATTTATGCAAGGTTTTAAATGTTGAGTCTGAAATTTGAAAATATTGATATCGACAGATATTTCTATAAAAATTATAAAATAAAAAAATTGTTATAAATTAAGAAGAAAGCATTTACCACTTTTTAAATACGTTAATATATAATATTAACATTGTGTCCATATTAGTGATGTTATGTCGATATTTTTTATATTTACTATTTTTTTTACAGCGCTACAAAAATGTCGATTTACTTCTTATATAATGTCGAACTTATAGACATGAAAATATCGACATGTCAACAGAAATTTAATGTCCTAAGTTTAATGTAACATAGTATTGGAAAATAGGATTTATATATTCTATGTGTCAGTACGCTATAAGGATTCAGGTCTTTTGAAACTCACATTTTAAATTAATTTAAGTTTTTATAAATTAGAAAGGTTAAAACCAAATATAATTATGCCTCACATAAACGTGGACTACTCAAATCTTAGATTCGTTAAGCCGACGCGATAGTTATCTAAAATAATATGATCACACAAATATTTGATTAGATATTTTTGTAATATAAGTCCATGAATAATAATATTCTAAAGTTTTGATTTTATAAGTTTTTTCCACAAAACTTGTGATTCAAGGTACAATGACTATGAACTAGTCAACTATGCATGTTTAATCCCTTTGATACATAGATGAGTGACATTGAAAAGTACATGTCTCCCTCCCCATATCCACCAAAGAGGTAGCAAGAAATTTTAATGGTGGAAAAATACTATTTTTTTTCTTTTAATATATGTGGGTATTCGGGACAACCTACTGTATTTAGTTTTGAACTCATCCCCTCTAAATTTTTTAGAATTTACCTTGGCTCAATCATTTGGACCAATGAACCAATCTATAGTGGTTAATGATGGAAAAAATCATATAAAAAAGTCCAAGGAGTTTAGGATAGAATCGACATTTTCCACCATATTTCCATGAGTTCGACATTAATATAAGGATGAATCGACAGTTTCACAGTATCACAACAAAAACTAATTAAAAATACCAAGTAAATATCACAGATGTGATATTAATAATAAGAAATTTTAACTTATTAAAAATAGTGAAGTGTTTATTGGTTAATTTAAATATGTTTTAATGATTTTTTTATTTTTATAAATTTTTTAGAAATATCCACCAATATTGATATTTTATCCATATTTCTATCGACATTTTCATAAATTTGCAACCTAGACATTTCCATCCACACCAACCTTTTAAACTTGAATGAAAGGTATAAATTGAAATATTTTTATTCCATGATAAATATTTGACATATATTCATGTAATAAATATAACATAAAATAATTTCAGTTAAAATTTAAAATATTTATATATTGTGAAATTATTTAAATTGAAAAATAGTATTTAAATTTTAATCTCAAATAAAGCTTGATCCAAGCAAGTACATTTATTTTAAAAGGGTGTTATAGGAAAAACACAACTAACAAAAAATTAGTTGGCTTAAAACTGTCCATGTTGGATTCATATCTCCTGTTATTTTTGTGAAAATAAAATAAATCTAAATATTATTTTCATCTCTAAACTTTTGAATATCTTATTATAAAATTTTCAATTTCGTATAAAAAATTATTTTTAATAATTGCTATTAACGTTTTTGTAAAATTATATAGAAAAAATACAAACACAATTTTTTGTCATATATTTTTAAGTAAAGAGTTACGTGAAGAAGTGTTTTAAGCCAAGTTGTAATATAAATTTAGATTTTTGTTAAATTATTAGCAAAAAGGAAAAAAATAATCATAGGAATAGGAACTAAAATAATTATTGTTGTGTGTGAACAAAAAAAACATCCAGATTTAAAACAAATTTAGATTTTTGTTAAATTATATTAATAAAAAAAAGTTAATAGGAAGAATTAAAATAATATTTCAACTTAATTCAGAGACTAAAATAGAATCGAAATGAAATATATATGTTAATTAAACATAGCTCCAACAGTGAATAGTGAATAACATAAAAAAGTAGGGTTGTGAGAACCTACATCGTCCATGTCAATCCTATTTATAGAGGGAGTCGCATTTGATCAATTCGAGTGGATCGACTCACTCATATTTGGTCTAGTTGGGTAGTCTAGAGAGAGTAGTTTGACTCGAGTGGTTCAATCCATGTTGTTTGTCTAACTTCAACTCAGATGAATTTTGTAAGATAATTTCACCGGTAATAATCTTTAAAAGATTAAAAACTATCAAAATTACTTAAAAAATTAGGGAACAATTGATACACCGAGAAAAAAAAGAAAAATAATAGAATTTAGAAAAAATAAATATTCAAAAAGGGGAAAACCAAGATACCCAATTGACTTTATTTTCCACGACTCGTAATTTTGAAATATACTTTTTGGTGAGAGTAGCATTTGGTTGTGAAGTCGCGTCCTAGCCGTCCTCTTCGCTGCCTGCGGTGGATTTTGGGAAGGTCTCTTTCACTTCCCTCCTTCTCTCTCTCTCTCTCTCTTTCTCTTTCTCTTCAATTCCTTATAAACCCAAACTCCATGTCATTACCAAATCCTCTACATCTTTTGCCTTCTCTAACACCTAACTCATTCATTCTTCTGCATTGTTAACTTAATCCAAACCCCAAATCCCAAACTCTTCAGAAACCCATCAACTTCCCTCTGATTCAGGTAAAAATCCGCCATTAGAGACTGATGTTGGGTTTTTGCTGATTTCTTGCTTTTTGATGAAATGGGCATTTTCACTTCTCTCTCTCTCATCTTGGTTCCGTGGCAATGTACTGATTGTTTCTCTAGACTTCGATTTCTGGAGATGGGTTTGCGCGTAATGCTCTTTTTACTGAAGTTTGGAGGTTGTTTCGTTCATTATGAATATGGGTTTCTGAATGAAATGGGTCTTTCTCTGTTCCTGATTTCTTCCGCAGATCTATGATGCTTGGCCACACTCTGTTCTGGTTTTAATGGACATTGTTGTTTGGGCTTGAAGTTTAGGATTTGTGTCTTTCACTTCTTTGTTTCCTTATACAATATGTTTGGGATTGATTGTGGGGGAGTCTTTTTTTAAGGATAAATTCTACTTGTTTGTTAAGAGATTGACTCTGTCTATTTCCTTGAAGATTTATCACTTCATTTTTTATGTTCATGTTGAATTTTTTTTCATTCTCATTTTTGGGTCTTCTTGGTGTTTCAGGAACGGTGTTCTTTTTGCCAAAATGGGGGCGTTCTTTTCCTGCCCTTTTGCTAGATACGTTGATGTGGAAAATGGGTTGGAATCTATCACTGTGAAATCCATCAGTTTTGGAGACGATGAAGTGAAAACTCCGGTGCGATCTGTCAGTTTCAATGGTAGAGATTTGGAGCCTATGATAATGAAATCGGTCGGTTCGGGGCGGATGATGTTGGAAACATCTGTTAGCTTCAAAGGTAGAGAGTTGGAGAAGATGGTTTCAATGGAGGGAGTAGCTGTTCCACAAGAGGAAGAATTGAATGTTGTAGCTAAGAGTCCAAAGAGCAAAGAAATGGAGAAGGAGATTCAATCTCCTAGATCAGAGAGTCACGATGGGATCCAAACGACAACGGACCTCGGTCCAACGAATCCAGAGCATATTGCAGCAATGAAATTGCAGAAGGTTTATAAAAGCTTCAGAACCAGGAGGAAGCTGGCAGATTGTGCAGTTCTTGTAGAGCAGAGTTGGTATGTGTTCTGTCCTGTTTCTCTGTTCTAAATCAAAATGGATCTGTTTTCAGGTTTGTTTACAAAAGATTTTCTTTGTTTCAGGTGGAAACTCTTGGATTTTGCTGAGCTCAAGAGGAGTTCCATATCGTTTTTCAACCTTGAGAAACATGAAACTGCCATTTCACGGTGGTCCCGAGCGAGAACGAGAGCTGCCAAGGTATATATCGACATGGTTTTTGCTCTTGACATGAATCTAGGAAATGTGTCACAAAAAATCTCTAACCATACGTTTCCAAACATCATTACAGGTTGGAAAGGGTTTGTCCAAAAATGACAAAGCTCAAAAGCTTGCTTTACAGCACTGGCTTGAGGCTGTAAGTCTATTGTATTTGAGGAATAAAGTATTACATAGTCTTGGTTTTTTCGAGTTCTAACTCGGTATCGCTAATTGTTATTTCTTTTTCTTTTGCCAGATCGATCCACGGCATCGTTATGGCCACAACCTACAGTTCTATTATGTTAAATGGCTTCATTGTCAGAGTGATCAACCCTTTTTCTATTGGTAAATATTCCTTGATCCAAATTTTTATAGCTTCAACTCTAATGTTCAATTCAGATTCGCTAGAAACTAATGGTTTGGTGTAAAACAGGTTGGATATAGGAGAAGGGAAGGAAGTAAATCTTGTTGAAAAATGCCCCAGAGCAAAACTTCAACAGCAGTGTATCAAGTACTTGGGTCCGGTGAGCCTCTAATCCCGTACCGCATCGTTCTTTATTCGCATAGTTCGTGTTATGTATGGAATGTTGAATCAGCCACATGCTTTTCTTTCAGCTGGAAAGAACAGCCTATGAAGTTGTTGTGGAGGATGGGAAGTTCATTTACAAGCAATCCAGGGAAGTCCTACACACGACCGGAGTCGATAAGCACGTGAAGTGGATATTTGTTCTCAGTACCTCTAGATACTTGTATGTTGGCAAGAAGCAGAAGGGTACGTTTCAGCATTCAAGTTTCTTGGCTGGAGGAGCCACATCGGCTGCGGGGAGATTGGTTGTCGAAAACGGCATCCTAAAGGTACAAGTCACAGAGCTTGTAGAATGCTCATTCTTTTTATCTATGGAGTTCCTACTGTGTAAATGGCTTGCCTTCAACCTTGAAAACATTCATTTAATAATGATTTCATCTCGTTAACAGGCTGTTTGGCCTCATAGCGGTCATTACCGTCCCACAGAAGAAAATTTTCAGGAATTCATCTCCTTCCTTACAGAAAACAATGTCGATCTCACTGATGTAAAGGTGAGAATTGGGAATCTCAGATCTAAGATGTTCTTCTTATGGTGAAATCAGAACGTAGGTTGACATGTTTCCTTTTTATGAAATTCAGATGAGTCCTGATGATGATGAAGACAGTGTACTAAAAATGCAAAAGAGCAGTCTTCATGTTCGAATCGGCTCATCTGAGGAAGATTGGGTTCAACAGTTGAGTGGTGGTCCGGATGATGGCACTGCAGAGATCGTTGTTGAAGAAACTGCTGGCAACAAATCAGATTTGCCAGAGCAAGAAACATTGTCGTCGACTATCGAACGATCTGAGCCAAAGAGGTTAATCAATCTGAGTAGGAAGTTAACCAATCTTCATATACCAAAGAAGAGCAACCTGCTCGAGAAACTCAATATGGAAAACCAAGAAATGAGATCCGAAACGTTTGGTTCGGAGTCAGATACCGAAGTTCCAAACGAGAACTTGTTAGAAGATGAGAATGCAAGCTGTGAGGTAGAGATCATTCCTGATGAATCAATACTCAAAAGAATAAACTCACACAAAGAAACAAAATCATATCAACTGGGAAAGCAGCTATCTTGCAAATGGACAACTGGCGCAGGCCCCCGAATCGGGTGCGTTCGCGACTATCCTGTCGAGCTTCAGCTCCGAGCTCTGGAACAGGTGAGCTTGTCGCCAAGAAAGGCAGCTGCTCGGTCCGGTTTTCAATGCTCGCCTCGAGTTGTCAGTCTGTTGAGCCCAAGAGTGTCTAAGCCAATGGATATGATTCACCAAACTAATACACAATCTCCTTCACCTTTGATCAAGGGAACTTCAGCAGCAGACATTGGTAGTGAAAATTGATTCCTAATTGTTATTATTATTATTATTATTCATTCATTCATTATTTGTGGATAGGAGAAAATATGACACACATATTTCTTATTCTTTTCTTTTTGAAAGTGTAAATAAATCTTTGTAGTAATGATCAATGTTTCTTGTGATAAATGAGAAGAAATTTGAAGAACACATGAAACTATATTTAGAAGCAGATGGATAGATGCACAATATGTAATGTTTCATGATATGATGTGATATTATATGTAACAATCAAATGTTAACATTTGAGCTACAAATTTTTTTAGACCAAGAAAGGGAGGGCCTTGATGAGAGGGCACTTTGCTATCAAATGTACTAATGATTTAGATTCGTAAATGTTATCCTAAAAAATAAAATATTCTTGAAAAAAGGAAAGTGAACCACCTTCTAAGCAAACAAACCATCACCGATCTTAGTATAATTCAAGTGGTAAAGATTCAAGTAACATTTTTTTCGGGTCATAGGTTCAAACTTCCACTCTTGTTTTGATAAACAAATATTCACCCACTTGAATGTAAGTGAACTCATTTAATAATAATAATAATAATAATAATAATAATAATAGCTAAGTATTTGCTTAACTTTGCTTTGGTTGTTGCAACTATATTCGACTTTTACATAAAATGTTTACCTATCAAACTTTTCGAACACATTCCTGGTGATCTCGAATAGATTGCAACATTAAAAGATGGTCAAATAGGTATTATATTTTGATGAATCATTCACCGTCAAGGAAGAAGGTGACGTAAGAATCGTTCTTGAAATAATCAAAAGTATAGCCCATATCTTTATCGTTTTAATTTAAACTTCCTTGCTCTAATAACAACGAAGAAGAACATGAGACCTGGACGATAGAGTTGTCTATAACTAAAGAAACGAAAGATCAAAAAATTTAAAATGATGGGTGACTTAAATTTTAACTACATACAAATGGGGCATATTTAAGGAGATTTCCGCACCTTATTAGTACCTTGTAATAAAGCTGCGTTAGAAAATTGAAAAGTCATATATTCAAATTGGAATTCGTCACTTTTTTTTTTTTGTAATTATTATAAGTCATTTTGAAAATTAGCTAATGGGTATTATTTGGGCCGAAATGAAAATCTAGTTTTTCCCATTGGGCCTTGCTTAGGCCCAATGGCAGAGAAGTCTGAGAAAGAGAGAGGAAAGAAGCAGCCATAGCCATTTTCTCACAAAGACAAAACGAGCTTTCAAGAGTTGCAGAAAGAAAGAACAGCCATCAGGATTCTTCTGCTTTCAATCGGATTGCCATTGATTTCCAAAATCTCAATCACGAATCTGTTCTTCGGCTCAACAATTATGGAAGATTCGTCGTCTCAATCCTTCTTCAGGAAGCACTGGGAGGGCTACAAGGAATTTTGGTCCGAGAGATTCTCGATCCTCGACAACTATGCCCCCTACGTCCAGCGCGAGAAGCCCCTTCCTTCATGGTCTTCCTCCGATGTCGAGGCCTTTATTGCTTCCGACCCCGTCCATGGCCCCACTGTAACTCTCCCTCCACTTCCCTTTTCCTTTTACTGCCTGCTTCTGAGTTCTGTCATTGAGTGTCTCACCTTGGAGATGGACCGATCAATTTCTCTGTTTTTGTTCTTAATCGTGTTCTTATACTGTGTTCTTTGCCTCATTCTTTTTGAGCTTTGGTAGGATGTACATGTATCTCGTTTATTTTATTAGTTGGTTTTCTTGATCGATGGAGAATGGTTCGCGTTTCGAATGATCTCATCTGGATTTTTCTGTTTCTTTGTGCGAGTGAGTGAAATGGACCACCTATGAGGGCGAACGTTTCCAATTAGAGATTTGTCAGTGTTAGATTGGTATATCTGAAATTAAATGCGTTCGCTTACACTTTCTCTGGAGATTTGGTAATACAATTGGAAATAGATGCAATTCTTGTTTTACCTTTGAGTTTGGTATAATGCAGTTTATTGCAAGCCTTGTCTCCTTCCCCTTGTTCTGCAGTATTACTTTGAAAATGTTAAAAGAAAAATCTGAGTCAGCTCTTATACTTTTCGATTCTTTATCATGGTTTTTATGATCAACATTTGAACTTCGATTTATATTTTCCTGATTACTGTAACTTTGCAGTTTGCACTCGTAATACATTGCAATCTTGCTTTGGGGGTGGAAATGATTTCTTTTTGAGTACCTGTGAACTCTGTTGGTAGGTGGTAGTTATCGTTTTTATTAATAGAACCTTGTAGCACACCTATTTCCCTGTGACTTCTCTACAATTTTATTCTCTCTAGTGCTCCTTATCCTGGATTTTGGTATTCATGGCGAGTTTTTGTCTTTTCATTGTTGTATAATTTTGAGTTATTTATATTTATTGCATGGGTGATTTCCAGTTTAGTTTCAGCTATCTAGACTACTATACTGCTCGTAATGCAAATTACTGAGATCATGGATTCATGATTTCATCTTGTTTCACATTTTTCATACATAAAGAGTTCTTGTATCTGCCCTTTAAGTTCCTCATTTATAAGCTGCTCGTTATTTTCCCTTTTTCCAGTTGAAGACTGCTAGAGAAGCTGTAAACTTTGGTCTTACAGGAAGTGTTATTGGAGCTGTTTCAACTGCAGGTGTTGCATGGAAATATTCAAGAAGTTTGCACGGTATTCAACTGCTTTGTGTTTCCACTTAATTGCTCAATATTAATGGATGAATATTGTATCTCCCACGCCACATCATAGCAGTTTGTAGAAGTTGAAGTGTAACCTCAACCCTCCGCCATTAGGATGTAGCCCTTTTGGGTTCTTTGAATATATTGTCTCTTATCCAAAAAAATAGAAGTTAAGTATAACAACACCCATCTGAAATTTCTGCGGTTCTCTCTCATCAATTCATATTCCTTTTCCCTTATTTCCTTTTTTATGCAAGCCTAAGATCTAACTCAACCAATGGAGCACATTTTTTTTCCATCTGCTAGAACCTTGCATGATACCAATCTATGTCCATAAATCGATTATGTCATGAGTTTGGTAGACATGAATGTTTACTGGTTTAGAATAATTGTATCCCTGATTATTTAATTGGGTGATGTTAAGATTAGTTTAAATGTGTCCAAGCTAGCCACAAGACATATAAGCCTAACTAGCTTGTTAAACTGTTGACCATGAACATGTGTAATTCTATCCATAAAATGCATAAAAGGCTCGCAAAATACTGGCTTGCTTACCCTGTAGCTGTGTTTCGACAGGCGCTGGGCTGTCGTTCCTAGCGGGAGGTGTATTCGGTTGGACTTTCGGCCATGAAGTTGCAAATCACTGGTATCAACTCTACAGGCTCGACACCATGGCTGCACAAGTCAAGTTTATGGAGTGGTGGAGAAACAAGAATGAGGGACGTTTTTAAACTCTGATTTGCAGTTGAAGATGCAGTCACTCATACTGCTGCTGCCCTCTGAAATAAAAATGAAGTGCAACTTTGTTGAAATACAATGGTTGATTGGTTTGTTTTGTGCTGGATTCTTCCAATCCAAGTTTAGAGGACTTCATCCTTTTTTCTTCTTCTGGAAATTACTGATACATTTGCAAACTTGTTACAAATGTAATCATCTTTACCAAAAGGTCGCTTCGATCTTGGAAAGATTATTGAATGAGGTCACCATAATGCATCGGTCGTTAATAATGATTCAAAATCTGTATGCACCTTGATAACCATTGGCCATAAATTTGAAACACGGTTTGGTAATTTTTCTCATACATTTAATAAAAAGGGTTTTAATTTGTTCAAAAGAACGATTTTAAAGACTTATTGATTCGTTAACAACTGATTGCAAAATTGACTATTTATGAGTTGTGGAGCTTGAACTCATGAATGAGGATATTCCTGAAACTCAAAAGAAATTGAAATTAACATAAATCTACCAAGTTTAAATGTTACAAGTTTCCATAACCTCTAAATCACAAATATTCTTCTTACCCAATTCTTGATTTAAAAAGAGAAGAGAAAAGGGAGAACTATATCTTTCTCAAATCGCAATTCGCTAGAGCTATAGCGAGCTTGGATTGTCTATCTCTTTGGTTTTTCTTGTTCAACTCTTTGATCTATCTTGTCTAAGTTTGCTTTCTCACTTCTTCTAATGTCAATGTGTGCAACATGATGAAGAATTAAAGGCATACTTGACCTTTTCTCAACGATCTTGTCACATAACTTTTAGGGTGTATTTGAGAGTAATTTTGGCCATGTTAAAATCACTTTAAATTAATTTTTCAAAATATCACGTGGATGGTGATTTTGAAAAATCAATTATACTTAAATCTCTTTTTTCAAAACCACTATCCTCACTTCTAAACATCCTTAATTCTCTTGTTCCACTACTCTCTTGTTCCACTACTGTTGTGATACTTTAGGGACGCTCCCATAAAGGGGAATTGGTGTCAAGTTTTCTCATAGCTTTGGGTTCAATGAACTACTCTCAGTCTCAATGTGAGGTTGAATGTAGTTGAAGAAGCTTTGATTTGAATGGGTCTTGAAAAAAGAGAGAATAGAGCTGGAAAAACAAGAGGGAAAGACGAGAAAACAAAGAATAACATTTTCAACAAAGACTAATGTGGTTGTCAATCGAAGCGACTTTGACAATAAAGTCAAGTGTTTTTGCATCACGTAAAAAATACCAAAACGTAGCTCAAATGATTATGATAGTTGATATCTATTGGAGAGATGATTGGCATTTTCAAAAACTTCTTTTTATTAGATAGGTTATCAAAAGCAAGAATTATGATAGACACTAGCAGATCCAGGATTTAATGTCGAGGGGGCACAACTATATATAAACATAACAGGAAAAGACAAATTTTAACCTTGAACTTGACAATGTGTATCAATTTATACTCTACTTTCAATTTTATTAAATTGCACCTTAAAGTTGGACAAGTATTATAGTCTTCACATTTAAACCCTAAAAAATGTTGTAATTTTTACCCTTTGAGAAAAAGAAAACAAAAATAAAAAACGAGAATATTACTAAACGGGCTCTTAGTATCCTCATCTTCACAAATTACATAGAAAAAGAATATTACTATAAGCAACATTTTGGTTTACAAAACTAGTTTACACCAAGGCCAAAGATTAAAATATATAAAAATGTCAAGATCTCAAAAATCGTAAAAATCGTAAAAATATATTTAAATTAATAATTAAACATGTCAGTTTACCTAAGTTAAAAATTCTTATGGTTAATATTATGCCCACATTTTATTTATACTTGTTGATTTTTTTGCGATACTAGCATACGTGATTCATTTTCATGTCAATGTCAATGTCAAACTCATAAATATATAAAAATATTAATGACAATGTAACATGTCCACGAAAATTTGATACCTTGACTATTACATGGACCTAATTTACCAACAACAATTTACTCACCGACAATGACCAGAAGATATTTATAGAACACAAGAATCAAAATGGGACATTTTGAAGTACGAGAACCTAAATGACATAAATGGTGAAGTCCACAAAATAAAGAAGTGCAACCATTGAAAATACTTAAAAAACTTAGAAAAATGAAGATACAAGGGGGAAAATACTGATTTATTGTATTGCACAAATTTCTGCTTTGAATTTTATTATTGAATGGAGAATAACAGAACAAGGCATTCCTCCCCATCTATGTTGCCATTTCAACCAGCTTACTCATCACATAAGATCTAAATTAAAAAAAAAAAAATTGTAAGAAAAATTACAGTTATGTACTAAATAGTATAGTTGATTGAAATTCACAGTGAATTTTCTTTTCTTTACTCACAAACTCACATGAAAAAATGGAAGAAAAAAAAAAGGGAAGAAGGGCCATCCCTAGTCCACCATTGAAGGAGGGCTACATCTTCATGTGGAACATTTCTGCATCCGAATCAAAAAACAGTAATATTTGCATTAATGAAATTGCATTTTACTTCTTCTATTACTCTCACTCAACCATGTAAAAAACAAGATAAATCGAACATACAACTAATCAAGGCACCTATTTCCAACAAAAAGAAATTTATGAGTTTGAATCCGTCTCCAACCCACATGTACTACAAGAAAGAAAGAAAAACAACAAAAAGCCCTGTTGTACAATTTCTATATTTAGTTTTTCCATTTTTTGTTTTTGGTTTTTTATTTTCTGTTTTAAAAAATTAAGATTAGAATCGAATAAATAGTTTTTATAAATATTTTCAAAATTTAGACTAAATTTTGAAGACCACAAAAAATATTTTTCAAAAGGTTTTTGTTTTGACATTTGGGTTAGAATTCAAATATGTTTTCAAAAGAGGTGAAAATTTTCGTTTTTCATTTTGAAAACATTTTCGAAAGTAGATAATGAGATAAAAAGGGAGAAAACTAAAATGGTTATCAAATCGAGAACATAAAAATATTCCACAGAGCATTTCATCACAGAGGAATTTATTCAAACAGCCATACATTTGCAGAAAAATTATGAGAAAGAAAGAAAGAAAGAAAGAGCAAAAACCTGTCTCTTAGAGAAACAATGGCGAAAACTTTTCATTGGCAGGTTGTGAAATGAGAATCCTGGCCAAAGGCTCCCAGCATCCGACATGCCACTTCAAGCAATTTTCCTGCCATTGTAATAACGAAAATGTTAGAAAAAGAAAAGCTAATTATGGTTTCAAATAGTACAATAAATTGGGAGTCACAAATACTAGTTGGTCACATGGACATAGTATACTTATTAGATGGAGTAACAAAAAGAATATATGCTGTCAAGTTTATGCCCTGTAGAAAACTAGTGACAATTAAAAAGAATCTTTGTACAAAATTGGGAAACTAAAGCTTATTTGATAATCCTTTCGTTTTTAGTTTTCGGTTTTTGAAAATCTCTCGCAATATTTTTGGTATGTTTTCATATTTCGTAAAAACATACCTGAATTCTTAGTCATATTTAAAAAAAAAAAACAGCTTTTTAGTTTTCAAATTTTAGTTTAGATTTTAAAAAAGTTTTTAAACTATAGAAAGCAAAACAAATAAATACATGGATAGAATTAGTGTCGACAAGCTTAATTTTCAAAAATAAAATAATAATTAAACGAGCCTGTAAAGGGTTGTGTAATTGCTTCAAAGCGAATGTAGCTCAGCGTTAATTAACATATATCTCCAAGGAAGAGATCATGAGTGAGATCCTCCGCTCCATCGTACTTTGAGAAAATAAAAGACCAGAGATATTTTTCTCCCTGACAGTCTACCAGCTGGTATTTTAATGTTCTTCTCTATTCAAAGGGTCCCATTTCTTAAATCCCATAAGATATTCTGAATTCACCAACCAAATTAATTATTCTGGTTGTCCTCATATTTTCTTTTTCTCCAATTAATTTTTTACTTTTTTCTTTAGGGCAAAGAAACTTCAATAATTTCCTACTGATTTGGGTGATTTTGATAACTCAACAGCCACAAATTTGATAATTCTAATAATGTCCAATCCAATTTACATAAAGACAAACAATCCCACATGCATAATCATCACAAAAATCCAAACATTAATATAAAAAGAAGATGATCCTCCGAGTCCTAGTGAATAAATCTGTTGACAGTGTCTCTCTTAGTATTTCTTCTACTTCCCCCTAAAGAAAAACCCTAATGGAGATTTTAATTTGAGTTTTTTTGTTGTATCAGAGATTATGCAGATTCCAAGCAACCCCATTGAAGAAACTCAGTTTCTTACTTGAAAAGCAAACTTCAACCAGAAAACCAATTTCAGAAAAGGCCCATTTCAACGCATCAACTTTGCCACCAAATCCCCACATCCCAAGCAATTCCGAAGAGTGAATTTCACTATACAGCTTCTCAACACCTAAAAATTACCCCATTTTTTGTTTTTCTAATGATTAAATTATAACTTTAGTCTATAGTTTTCTAAATTCAACTTTCAATTTTGTATGTCTCTGAACTTCAAAATCTTCTTAAAAGTTTTTCCAAGTTCAAAGAGCTGTTAAACAAAATTCAATAACTAATATGGTAATTCTAACAATGAAAACCCTAATCAATTCGGCGTTTAAGCCGGCCGGCCCAGTCGCCGGAATCAGACAAGCTGACCTATAAACCACCGTGAAAATCCGACGCTACACTAACAAATTAGACAGAAAGCAATCGATTCATGAAAAATGTGAAGTAAAATAAGAAGCTGCTGAGAATTTTGACATACCTCTCCTTGGCTTGGCCACTACCTTGACGTGTTGAACTGTTTTCGCCGGCGGTTTCGGCTCCGTC